AAATAATATGCAAAGGCACCTCATAATATAGTTCATCAAATCAGATATACAAGAACTCACTAAGAATAGTCTGATATAAAAGACGAGATAACTTCAAATGCCAACAATCAATCACAAAAATCAAATTGAAAGGTCATTCTTGATATTCTTCAGGCCAATGCATTATACAGCATCTACAGCACCAATATGTTTTTCAGTCCACTGCCATAGAGTGAAAACCAGCAAATAAAAGTTAAACAGAATGATTCACACCATGACTAGTAATTCACCCAAGAGACAATGCTTAAGAACGACTTCTAGGATTGCAGGGAGAAAAAGGCTACGGGTACTCAGGGAGGTACAATTATTCTACTGGTGAAAGGACTATAAGTTCAATTTTTTTCTGAAAGATAACAATCACCCTATCAACAAAATCATACAATAAGCGCAAGTTTGGCACAATGGTACACACTTATGTACAGGCTCCTCATATTATTAGTTTCAAAATGGTAAAAAGCAGTGTCTCACCAAGTATATAACCACTGTAAAGAGGTAAGCAATCTCAAATTGTACCACTATGCCGAGCCTAATATTTTTCAGGCTAAATTGCTTTTGAGCTGATCGTCAGACTGAGATGGCAGCCTTACATATTATGGCTTGGCATTGGAGTTCAGCTAAAATGGTGGAAGTCAACCAGCAAATAAAGAATACAAAGATTGAAAATTGTACAGATTAATCACACCAATGATTTATTGTGCAACCAGGAAGCAATACTTCAAACATGGCCTGGACCAAAAGTCATTGACTCATCTTATATCAGAGTATCAAATGCACCAATCTTACTCAAATGCCATCACGTGGAGGTACAACTAGTTCACAGAATTGGAACGAACGTAATCAATATGATTATATAACTAAAGCTATGTGCATCTGAGACAACATAGAACACATATATAAATAGCAAATATGGAAGTAAAACCCATCATTTGTAGTGATTCAGTCCATCCCTTGGCCAATCAAAATCATTCTTCAAAGCATACCACAAACTTCATCAAGCACTAAGCATCA